TGGCATCCCCACTAAAAAAACGCTCACACGAATCTGACGATTCGTTGTCTTCAGAGGATGAAGCTCAAACAACTATCACCAACACTGAAAATTGGCCTCGTTTTGTCGTTATGTGTGCTCCTGATGGTGTTTCTATAAAGTTGAATCCCTTTGCCGTTGCAAAGGGCATTGAAGGTTTAGCCGGAGAGGTGAAGGAAATAAAAATTAAAAAAGACCTGCTCCTTGCTAATTGAATGCAGGAAACAAATCCAATCAAACATTCTGTTAAAAACCAAATCACTAGCTAATGTTCCTGTGGAGGTGTCCCCTCACAGGACATTGAACAGCAGCAAAGGCATCGTCCGTGATATTGGACGTTGCCTTTTTGACATGGACGAAACTGATATCGTGACTGAGCTGCACTCTCAAGGAGTAACTCAAGTCAAACGATTCACGGCTAAAAAGAATAATGAAACCTTCAAAACGAACACCTATCTCTTCAATTTTTGTCTGCCAGTAAAAGCCAGAAGTATGGCCATGGGTTCAAATCATGCCACCATCCAGCAGCATGCCAACGATGTGCTGGAACATGCGAGGACAGCAATGTTTGTTATAAAACTGCTGTCTGCGTCAACTGCTCTGGTTGCCATCCCTCATCTTCCAAGGAATGTCCTTCCTGGAAGCTGCAGTCAAAGATCTCGCAGGTAAAGCATGAGCGAAATATATTGTTCTTGCATAAGAACAATCAGGCCCGACATATGCTAAAACTGTTTCTGCCTCTATTCAGGCCTGGAAATCAACACATGTTTCATGTGTTTCAGTAGGTTGTCAAACCGATAATACATGGGCTAGGACTTCTGCTCCTACTTTGAACCTGCTGAAATTCAAGCGAGACCGCCAAAGGTAACTTCCAGTGCTCAAACCACGTCTTCACAAACCATTCAGCCAAAGGCATCTTCTGTGCAAAATACATCTGCATCTCAGAAGCAACCATCAGACACAAATGTCAACCTAACTGTGAAAACTAAATCCAAACTAAACAATGAAAGCAAAAAGAGTCAAGGTAACAGAGCCCAAAAGGGGTCGAATAACCAGGTCCAACGTTTAACAAGTTTAGATCTCTTGAGGACATGGATGTGTCCGACCATAGTCATGGTAGGACACATAGCTTGTCACCCTCAAGGAAGGTAATGGGTAGATCTCCTGTTCATCCGCCGAAGAAGTAATGTCTACACCTATAATCCAATGGAATTGTAGAGGATCCGGAATAATTTAAACGATTAACACTTATTAAATCAACATTTTAAACCGTCAGCGTTCTGCATCCAAGAAACTTATCTGAAACAGACTTCGTTTTTCTCCTCCGTTTCAGTGCATATCACTTCGTTTTTCTCCTCCGGGTGATAGAGGTTCTGGTGGATCATCAATCCTGGTGAGGAGCAATGTTGTCCATAGCAGTGTTCCACTTATAACAAATCTTCAAGTAGTTGCAGTTCGACTTACATTACAAATTGCTTTTACTTTATGCTCTTTATATATTCCACCTTCATCGGCTGTCCAACTAACCGATCTGCAAGCTCTTTATGATCAACTACCTAAACCCTGTTTAATCATGGGTGATTTAAATAGCCATAACCGGCTCTGGGGTGGCACTAATACAAACACCAAAGGTAAATTACTGGAGGATTTTATTTCAAACAACGATTTATGCATTTATAATGACAGTTCAATACGTATCTTCATCCTGGCACAGGAACATACTCAGCTCTTGATTTGTCAATTACTGACTTCAACCTATTGAGTGAATTTGAATGGTTAGTCCACGACGACCTCTGTGGAAATGACCATTTCCCAACATTACTAAAACCTGTGAATCCATCTGATGTTCCTCCATCGTCAAGATAGAATTTTAATAAGGCTAACTGGGCTTTACATGAAACTCTCTGTCGTGCCAAACTAAAACCTGAACTTTTTAATGATATTCCTGATGCCATAAAATGTTTTTTTGGATGAACAAAATAACATAGCTGACGCGTGTATCCCAAAGTCCTCTGCAATTTCTCATGTAAGGAAACCATGCTTTAGGCTATGAGCCAGGAGCTGAAAATTGACAGATTGGTACCACTCAGAGGAACCACAAGTTTTAGTGCTTTTTATATTCCTTTATGTCTCTATATATCAAAAAGGTATGATAGACATCTCAATTTGGTAGCTTAAACTCAGAACGAGGCTAAATCCAAGATGGCCGCCAAACAAACCCAACATTTTCAAAAAATGTCAATTCCAAGCTTTTATCTTGAGAAACGTTCAGCAAATAGGTTGGAAATGTAAAAAAGGGGGTAAAATGGTGCCAGTGTAATTAAACGTATTTAATTAATATCAAGTTTTGTTTAATTGATACATTTAAATCATATTTATTCCTGATTTTCAAGTGTTGAAATTGTAAGCTCAAAGAACATTTTCGAAAACTCATCATTTCATTTATTCTGACTGACTGACTGAGTATGGTTTTACGCCGCTTTTAGCAATATTCCAGCAACATCACGGCGGGGGGACACCAGAAATGGGCTTCCCACATTGTACCCATGTGGGAATTCGAACCCGGGTCTTTGGCGTGACGAGCGAACGCTTTAACCACTAGAATACCCCACCGCCACCTCATTTATTCTGAAGACAGCTCTTTAACTTCAAATAGTGAGGGCACCTTCAAGTTCCTTAAATTGGTTTGTGATAGTCACTGTTCCACTGTACATGTCATTGGATCCAAAACAATATTTTCTCGACTACCATAATAGCTGTATTTTCACAGCAGAAGCTAAAGCCATATTAACAGCTCTTAAATATATTAATAAGCACCGTAAATATAAACAATACATCATCTTTTCAGATTCACTTTCGTGTCTTCAGGCTATTAAAAATCTTTCTTGTAAACATCCACTTTTATTAGAAATTATTGAATTGTATAATGAGCTTGCTACTGACCAATGCGACATCGTCTTTTGTTGGTTGCCCAGCCACGTTGGCATTTCTGGGAATACAATGGCTGATCTTGCTGCTAAGGCAGCACTCCACAAATCTGTGACACCACTTCTTATTCCATACTCTGATTACAAAGCTAGCATTAGAACCTACGTCCGTGATCTGATGCAAAAGAAGTGGGACACCCAAGTAGATACATGTATTAACAAATTACATGAAACAAAACCCTATATTGGTTACATCTACTTCGGTTGTCAGTCCAGATTTGAAGAGGTCATCATGCGAAGATGTCGTATTGGCCACACAAGATAAACTCATGAATACCTATTGAAAGGTGAGGATCCTCCGTTTTGCATCCCTTGTGATGAAAGAATCACGGTCAAGCATGTCTTGCTTGACTGTGTTGAATATTCCAACTATTTTAAATCACGAACTATGAAGGATCTTTTTAATAATATAAGTTCTCATTTAATTATTGCATTTTTAAAAGAATTACATTTGTTAAATGATTTGTAAATAGATAAATATTTTATTATTGGTAGATTAGATTAGTATCTGAGATTGTTAGTGGCTGTACCCTCAAATTCCACACATAATTTGTTATCAATATCAGTTTCACAATCTGTACCGGTAACATTAACTGTACCCGTATCACAATCTCTACCCGTATCACAGTCTGTGCCCATATCACAATGTGTACCCGTATCTGTATCAGCATCCACACCAGCATCGCCATCTGTGTCTGCGTCAACAACATCTGACACAAAACTGGATTCACTGCTTGTATCTAAAGCCTCCTGCAAGTCTTCTTCTGTCTTAAGTAACTTCAGAACTTCTGTTGGTATGGAAGCTTCTGGTGAAAGACCAACTGTTGCAGACTTGCCAAACAAGGCTTCATATGGTGATATACCAATTCCTCTGTTCAGTGCAGTCTAAGTAAACTTAGGCTCAATATTTTTCGTTACACTGCTATACTGAGTCAAACCTTGTGGAAGGTTGCGTCAGGTAACCTTTGAGCGACCTATGACCGTCCAATCAAACGCGAGACCACCGAACGGATTTAACCAATCAGACAACGGCTACTATTTAGGGTTTGGCGGGACTTACAAAATGGATTTTCTCTTCCCCGGTCGCCAACACTGATCTCATAACAAATGAAAACCCGCATAAAACACAGACATATGACCTGCAGAATATACGCTTTTGGGTTTCTGTTGACATGGCTATCATTAGCTAATATTTCCGCATGCTGACATCCTTGAATACTGACAAAACGCTATTTTCAGCGACTGTTTACGTACTCTTGTGGCGTGCTTCACCATTCGTCACCACTCGCCCCTTTCCGTAAACTCCAAGAAGACTCGTCCCCCTATCGATGCTTGTCATGTGCGAAAGTACGACAAACCAATCAGAACGCGCGTAATGGATGCAGTGCTTTGATAAAAATAATTCCGACTACTTAAACCGTTTATGGCATTATGTCATTGTTTAAAAAATCATGAAAAATATCTATCGTCATATTGAAAGTACTTAGAACGTAGCTAACAGAATTGTGCTAACTAATGTGAAGTTTTTGATAAGAATCATGCAATTGACGGTGAGAGATTCAAATACACGAACGTGCGTGTGTTGACCTAACGGCTCTCACTGATCCAACGGAGTGTATTTCTGACGATCTTGCGGGCTTGTCGTGGTGATTGTACGTGCGCTTCCAACAGTTTTAGGAAATGTAATTTTAATCGTTACTAGTTTCAAAACAATATTATTATATGTGTATGTAATTAACCAACTTTAATCTTTAACATTGGGCATATATTTCACATCTCTGGGAATATTAATCTTACTTTTTTTGGTCATTCATATATTTTCAGAGAATTCATTTTAAATTTCGCTTGGGGTATGAGAGCAAGGTTACACGTATGTTCAGTTTGAGGAATATTTTAAAGTCATTTTTATTGTACTGGATGTTGTTTTGGGAACCCACGATGTAGAGAAGCGATAATATCTTCAATGAATCCTGTCTTTTTTGTTTTGAATGCTGTGATAAATCACTCATCTGCGCTAAGTAGGTTTGAAGGTAACGAAAACTTTGTTCCTGAGTGCCTATCTCTGTCAAAAACCCTTTGAGACACGTAATAGTAGAATCCAGAATTTGTGACAGATTCAGTTCGTTTCTCTGGAACATTGTGACAAGTTTCTCCATGTCTGATAACATGGAAATCGTTGCCACAAATGAAAATGTCTCCAACTCAAATTCGTCTGCTTGCGATTAGCCGCCATGCTTTCCGGTTTATGTAGCCTCGAAGCAAAGTGAAACGTAATAACAAACGTTTTGATTCCAGGCTATCATGTTCTAAAATTAGCTGATGGAGATAACCCAGTTTCTCTTTTCCAACAAACAGCGTAAGTAAATTGTTTATTTTAAAAGTCGTCGGCATTTATTATTATTATTTTAAGAAGTACAGCCAGCTCTCGTTAATCAGACACTCATTAATCCGACAATCACTTTAATCCGACAACAATTAGGGAACCATTTAAAACTGTGATAATGACTCTCGTTAATCCGACATTCTCGCATTCCGACTCCAACATACCAATGTAGCAAGTGATCATTGTAAAATACATTGTAAAAACATTCGATTATCCGACAATCAACACAGCCGGTCGGATAATGCGACCGTAAACAAACATCACACATGAAAGGTGATTAGCGTGCTTGACACCCACGTCGGTGAACATCACAATTGTTAATTCGAAACTCTGAGACTCATCTCTATACATGTGAGTATACACTGAGACACATCTCTGTTCATGTCAGTATACTCTGAGACACATCTCTATACATGTGAGTATACTCTGAGACACATCTCTGTACATGTGAGTATACTCTGAGACACATCTCTGTACATGTGAGTATACTCTGAGACACATCTCTGTACATGTGAGTATACTCTGAGGCACATCTCTATACATGTGAGTTAGCTCTGAGATACATCTCTATACATGTGAGTAAGCTCTTAGACCCATCTCTATGCATGTGAGTATACTCTGAGACACATCTCTATACATGTGAGTATACTCTGAGACACATCTCTATACATGTGAGTATACTCTGAGAGACACATCTCTATACATGTGAGTATACTCTGAGACACATCTCTATACATGTGAGTATACTCTGAGACACATCTCTATACATGTGAGTATACTCTGAGACACATCTCTATACATGTGAGTATAAACTCTGAGACACATCTCTATACATGTGAGTATACTCTGAGACACATCTCTATACATGTGAGTATACTCTGTGAGACACATCTCTATACATGTGAGTATACTCTGAGACACATCTCTATACATGTGAGTATACTCTGAGACACATCTCTATACATGTAAGTATAATCTGAGACACATCTCTATACATGTGAGTACACTCTGTTAGACACATCTCTGTACATGTGAGTAAACTCTGAGACCGATATGTCTACATGTGAGTATACTCTGAGACACATCTCTATACATGTGAGTAAACTCTGAGACCCATATGTATACATGTGAGTATACTCTGAGAAACATCTCTATACATGTGAGTATACTCTGAGACACATCTCTATACATGTGAGTATACTCTGTGAGACACATCTCTATACATGTGAGTATACTCTGGAGACACATCTCTATACATGTGAGTATACTCTGAGACACATCTCTATACATGTGAGTATACTCTGAGACACATCTCTATACATGTGAGTATACTCTGAGACACATCTCTATACATGTAAGTATAATCTGAGACACATCTCTATACATGTGAGTACACTCTGTTAGACACATCTCTGTACATGTGAGTAAACTCTGAGACCGATATGTCTATACATGTGAGTATACTCTGAGACACATCTCTATACATGTGAGTATACTCTGAGACACATCTCTATACATGTGAGTATATTCTGAGACCCATCTCTATACATGTGAGTATACTCTGAGACATCTCTATACATGTAGGTATACTGAGACACATCTCTATACATGTGAGTATACTCTGTGAGACACATCTCTATACATGTGAGTATACTCTGAGACACATCTCTATACATGTGAGTATACACTGAGACACATCTCTGTACATGTGAGTATACTCTGAGACACATCTCTATACATGTGAGTATACTCTGAGACACATCTCTATACATGTGAGTATACTCTGAGACACATCTCTATACATGTGAGTATACTCTGAGACACATCTCTATACATGTGAGTATACTCTGAGACACATCTCTATACATGTGAGTATACTCTGAGACATCTCTATACATGTGAGTATACTCTGAGACACATCTCTATACATGTGAGTATACTCTGAGACACATCTCTATACATGTGAGTATACTCTGAGACACATCTCTATACATGTGAGTATACTCTGAGACACATCTCTATACATGTGAGTATACTCTGAGACACATCTCTATACATGTGAGTAGTAGACACATCTCTGAGACACATCTCTATACATGTTAGTATACTCTGAGACACATCTCTATACATGTGAGTATACTCTGAGACACATCTCTATACATGTAAGTATACTCTGAGACACATCTCTATACATGTGAGTATACTCTGAGACACATCTCTATACATGTGAGTATACTCTGAGACACATCTCTATACATGTGAGTATACTCTGAGACACATCTCTATACATGTGAGTATACTCTGAGACACATCTCTATACATGTGAGTATACTCTGAGACACATCTCTATACATGTGAGTATACTCTGAGACACATCTCTATACATGTGAGTACACTCTGTTAGACACATCTCTGTACATGTGAGTAAACTCTGAGACCGATATGTCTACATGTGAGTATACTCTGAGACACATCTCTATACATGTGAGTAAACTCTGAGACCCATCTCTATACATGTGAGTATACTCTGAGACACATCTCTATACATGTGAGTATACTCTGAGACACATCTCTGTACATGTGAGTATACTCTGAGACACATCTCTATACATGTGAGTATACTCTGAGACACATCTCTATACATGTGAGTATACTCTGAGACACATCTCTATACATGTGAGTATACTCTGAGACACATCTCTATACATGTGAGTATACTCTGAGACACATCTCTATACATGTGAGTATACTCTGAGACACATCTCTATACATGTGAGTATACTCTGAGACACATCTCTCTACATGTGAGTATACTCTGAGACACATCTCTATACATGTGAGTACACTGTGAGTGAGTATACTCTGAGACACATCTCTATACATGTGAGTATACTCTGAGACACATCTCTATACATGTGAGTATACTCTGAGACACATCTCTATACATGTGAGTATACTCTGAGACACATCTCTATACATGTGAGTATACTCTGAGACACATCTCTATACATGTGAGTATACTACTGTGAGACACATCTCTATACATGTGAGTATACTCTGAGACACATCTCTATACATGTGAGTATACTCTGAGACACATCTCTGTACATGTGAGTATACTCTGAGACACATCTCTATACATGTGAGTATACTCTGAGACACATCTCTATACATGTGAGTAAACTCTGAGACCGATCTCTATACATGTGAGTATACTCTGAGACACATCTCTATACATGTGAGTAAACTCTGAGACACATCTCTATACATGTGAGTATACTCTGTGAGACACATCTCTATACATGTTAGTATACACTGTCAGACACATCTCTATACATGTTAGTATACTCTGTCAGACACATATCTATACATGTGATTATACTCTGAGACTCATCTCTATACATGTGAGTATACTCTGAGACCCATCTCTATACATGTAAGTATAATCTGAGACACATCTCTATACATGTGAGTACACTCTGTTAGACACATCTCTGTACATGTGAGTAAACTCTGAGACCGATATGTATCTATACATGTTAGTATACTCTGAAACACATATCTCTGAAACACCTCTCTGTACATGTGACTATATTCTGAGACCCATCTCTATACATGTGAGTAAACTCTGTGTGACCCATCTGTATACGTGTGAGTATACTCTGATACAGATCTCTATACATGTGAGTATACTCTGTGAGACATCTGTATACATGTAGGTACACCTTGTGAGACACATTTCTATACATGTGAGTACAATCTGTGAGATACATCTCTATACATGTGAGTATACTCTGAGACACATCTCTTTATTGGGCATATATTTCACATCTCTGGGAATATTAATCTTACTTTTTTTGGTCATTCATATATTTTTCAGAGAATTCATTTTAAATTTCGCTTGGGGTATGAGAGCAAGGTTACACGTATGTTCAGTTTGAGGAATATTTTAAAGTCATTTTACTGTACTGGATGTTGTTTTGGGAACCCACGATGTAGAGAAGCGATAACATCTTCAATGAATCCTGTCTTTTTTGTTTTGAATGCTGTGATAAATCACTCATCTGCGCTAAGTAGGTTTGAAGGTAACGAAAACTTTGTTCCTGGGTGCCTATCTCTGTCAAAAACCCTTTGAGACACGTAATAGTAGAATCCAGAATTTGTGACAGATTCAGTTCGTTTCTCTGGAACATTGTGACAAGTTTCTCCATGTCTGATAACATGGAAATCGTTGCCACAAATGAAAATGTCTCCAACTCAAATTCGTCTGCTTGCGATTAGCCGCCATGTTGTCCGGTTTATGTAGCCTCGAAGCAAAGTGAAACGTAATAACAAACGTTTTGATTCCAGGATATCATGTTCTAAAATTAGCTGATGGAGATAACCCAGTTTCTCTTTTCCGGATACACACCACCAAATGTTTTCACATAGACTTCTATAGTAACCTTATAATTTTTAGCCGGGTACACTCTGGCACACTCTGGCCTTTAAACTACCATGAAAACACAATATCTGGCCAACTTGTCCGGCTCGTTTTGCGAGCGCAGAAAGCGGAACAGATCAACCCCAGTTCCGCACCAAATGTCACCTACTGGAAAATATCTGTACACACAATAAGCATAAGTGATGGTGATAAAAATGACAGCACTAAATACTTAAAATTGTGGTCAGTTTTAATTTTTGGTTGGATCTGCTTTTAAAAAACAAACATATTACACTATTTCATCCAATCAGAGCTGTCACATGTCTGTCTCTCCTGACCTGCACAGGAAGCATTTGATACTGATTTAGTGTACTGGAACCTTCCAACGCACAGCGTAAGTAAATTGTTTATTTTATAAGTCGACGGCATTTATTATTATTATTTTAAGAAGTACAGTCAGCTCTCGTTAATCCGACACTCATTAATCCGACAATCACGTTAATCCGACAAAATATTAGGGAACCATTTAAAACTGTGATAATGACTCTCG